CGATTGTCCCCTGGTCTCGCTGATGTCCAGGGCAATGGATAATGCTGACCTTTCTGTCCTTTGCCAATTTTTAGGGCCTGAGTTAAGGCTTCTAATTCAGCCCATTGGGCTGAAGTTCCGGCCAGCAGGGCTTGGGCCCAAATTATTTTCTCCTCATTGACCACCGCTGCCCCCGTCTCACGTTCACCGTTTTGCAGAAAGCTGCTCCCATCCATATACCAGGTGGCATCTGTATCTGTTAGGGGCTGGTCAGTGAGGTCTTCTCTGGTCCCATGTGTCTCCGAAAGTCAGCCAGGTCACGATGTAGAGCTTCATCAAACAGAGTAGGGGAGTTCTTGAATCCTTGGGGAAGTCTCATCCAGGTTAGTTGTCCCGATATTCCAGCTTCAGGGTCCTTTCATTCAAAAGCAAAGATGGGCTGGCTAACCGGGCTCAGCCTTAGGCAGAAGAACGCATCCTCCAGGTCAAGTACAGTATACCACCTATGACTAGGAGGTAAAGAACTCAGAAGATTATAGGGATTAGGAACAGTGGGATGGATATCTTCTATCTTCTGATTGACTTCTCTTAAGTCTTGAACTGGTCAATAATCATCTGTCCCTGGCTTTTTCACGGGGAGCAGCAGGGTGTTCCAAGGGGATTGGCAAGGGTGAAGTATGCCCATTCGTAAAAGTCTTTGGATGTGGGTGGTCCTGGTCCTGTTCCCTGAACTGTGGCCAAAATTTGACTTAATTTTTTATTTTTCTTTTATTAAATCCTGTAAAGAGTACCCCTGAAGGCCCTCCAGCCATTGGAGCTTACCACGAATGTCAGGAGCTGATTGTCCTATAAAGGCCATAATAAGATCTGCCTGACGCTCCTGGGCTGTGGTATCAAAAGGGGTATACATCCTATATCCCTCTATCAGATGTTCTAAAAATCCTGCGGGAGTTTCATTTTCTCCCAGGGGTTTGATTTTCTCCTTGGGCTATAACATGTACCTTTGCCAAATTGGTCAGGCGCTTTCCGGCCCCTTTGAGACCCGCTAACAGAGTCTGGCGATAAAGACGTAGATGCTCCCTACCAGCCACGGTTTCAGGGTCCCAGTTGGGTCTGGTCAGAGGAAATCCTGCGTCTATTTCATTTGGGAGCAGAGTGGGTCTCCCATCCTGCCCAGGGACATTTTTCCGGGCCTCCAGGATGACTCGCTGTCTTTCTTCTGTGGTTAGAAGGGCCTGGAGGAGTTGCTGACAATCCTCCCAGGTGGGTTGGTGGGTGAGGAGAATAGACTCTATTAAAGCAGTTAGAGCCTGAGGATCCTGAGAAAAAGAGGGGTTATGAGTCTTCCAGTTATACAAATCAGAGGCTGAAAAAGGCCAGTACTGGATCTGATCCCCTATAGTTCAGAGGGGAAAAACCTGGGCAGTCCAGGTTCCATCAGAGGGGCCCCCTCTATCCCTCCTTAAGCGGAGTCTGTTAAAGGAAGGGATTTGTCAGGTTTATCAAGAAGGGTTAGGGAAGCTTGGTCCTCAGGGAGGACTGGCTTTTACTTCTTTTCAGGGGCAGACTGAAGGGGCAGGAGGGAAGAAGTAACACTCAGGGGAGCAGAAGGGACAGGAGGTCCCTGGTCAGTCTCTTCAGTTCCCCTAGGAGGTAGGAACGGCCGTGCCCAAGATGTGGGGTTCTGGGCCAAGTCTTCCCAGGTGACTATGTAGGCCACCTGGTCTGGATGTCCGTGTGGTCTTGGGTGGAAAATGTATTCCTTAACCTGCAAGATAGTAGCAAGGTCAAAAGTCCCATCCCTTGGCCATCTTTTTTCAAAAGAGGGCCATGCAGAGGAACAGAGACTCTGCCACTTCTTCTTCTGGACCTCCAATGATAAGTTGTGGGCCCTCTCCACGACCTCCTTTTAGTGTTCCAGAGTTAAGCTTAAAGGGGTAGTTAGCGATTGACCCATAGTGGAGGTCACAGACAGGAGAGGGGGAGAGTAAGAAGGAAAGAAAGAAAGTGAGAATATGCCACTCCAAATAATAATGACCAGTGGGTGTGCTTATGAACAAGTACCTAACGTTGCCCAGTTTTTCTTCTGCGGGGGACGTGAATTTATCTGGGATTCACATCTGGGACCCCCTTATCCTTCCATGGGAGTCTTTTAGCGGCGAGCGCCCTATGGCTCTTATTTGCTCGACCCGTGCCCACGGGGCTGTTTCAGTGGCCAGAGAGAGAGA